ACTTAAAACCCAATTTCACCTCACCTCACTCATTGTCAATAATATAGACTATTACAGTAACTTGAACTCTAGAACATTTTCTATCTCATGATCACGAAAGAAACAGTATGACCGGGCCTTCTAGGCCCGGATACTGGGTTATTAGGTGAAAAAAATAATCTTTTCGACTGTATATAATTAATGCGATGACCAATATGTATTTTAAACCTGTGCCAGTGTTAAGCACATCAGATGTGACGAATACATTGTGGTGTAAAGGCGCAACAATTTAACATAGAGCTTGGGCGATGTAGCACAACACAGTCACGCACTGAATCTACAGGTACAATGTATAACAGCTGAAACAGTGTTGCAAAACTTATAACACTGCCCCTAACAGTACATTGACTTGGCACTGCAGACGTTATGACTACATATAGTAGCAATCGTGAAGACCACACACACAGACTGGGCACCGGGGCAGGGCACTATGAGGTGAACTAGTGAACAGGGAGACTAACATCACCGGGGCAGGGCACTATGAGGTGAACTAGTGAACAGGGAGACTATCATCTAGACTCTCAAATGAACATGTATGGCAGAAGAAAAAAAACGGTTCATGAATTTTAGATATAAAATATAATGAAAAGGAGCAGAGAGACTTTCTTCATTTTCGTCTGAAACTGGTGAAATATAAACACACATTCTAGACTTGCATGGGCTTCCTTGAATATATATGTTTCAAGGTCTGTATGACAGACTATCGTACAGACAAAATGAATATATCCTACTGATGAGCGGGCCTTTCGTTACAAGTGACATAGATCACATAGGCGCCACACAAAGGGCACGAGTGAGGACAGGCCAAAACCGATGCTATGTCCCATTGGATCGTTGGTAAATTGAAACAATCGAAAGTATCAGTTTTTAGATATTATCCATTTTAAAAACAATCTGCTTTTAATGGTAATGCTGAGTTTCTGTACAAAAAATATTTTTAAATGTGGCACTAACATAATTTATAAATCATTATTTGTTAAACTAACATTCCAGAACCATTAGAAAGAAGACGACATCTCTCTCAGTGTGGCCGCCAGCACCAGTAGATGACAGTTCCGGGTAGACAGCCGGTAAGAGAGTGGACACTTGGCCACATGTATATAGACGCTCCACTGAATGTAGGATTGATTGCTATTTTTACTCATCACCCATCACTGATTGTGTTTTGTTATATTTGCGGCCACTAAACATTGCACATACATTCTTTGAAAGGTGGAGCCCGACAAACCGCGCTAGCATATGGGTCAATATATAGGTTATGTACCCAGGTATGATAATGTCATGTGAATGGTGGTTATGGATGTTCATCCCAAGAGATTGTTGAGTCGATCATGGGTATTTACTGTTTCTATTTCTTTAGAATCAAATATAAATCTCGAGTTTGAATGGTTTTGATTCAGAGTACACTGTATTACTTCTTTTGTCTGGAGTATATAATACACACCAAGTTTTAGCCCAATCGTTGATGTAGCATAAATCGCTATTCGATGTGCCTTCAAGAATATGATGTTCTGCAGATTATGTACCCCGAGAAGTTTCATCTGATAATGATATTGTTGTAGTCAAGGCGGTGTGTAATAGCATTTACATACATAATACCGGGCGGTTGGGTAGCCTAGTGGTTACAGCGGCCGCTCGTCACGCTGATGTGTGAAGCCCATTTCTGGTGTCCGCCGCCGTGATATTGCATGAATATTGCTGAACTCCGGCGTAAAACCCAACTCACTCACATACATAATAAATAAGAAAGGCCCAAATGACTGGACTTGAAACTTCTCTATTCAAATATACATTTTGATGTTGACGACCTGTACAACTTCATAGCCAGTTTAACACCTTACCCTATAAACACTATCCTTTTATTTAACACAACAGACTTCTGTGCCATGCACGATCAAATGCCTCCAAATGACACATCACAAAATATCATACACTAATCTCCTGGAGTATCTGAAGTATAACAATCATTGTCAATAAACTGTATCGACCAGAAGCCTATTTGACATGAAAACAATAGCTTATCATTAAAACATTAAAAGACATAGTATTTTGGAACAACTGTTTCAAACCTTGAGCAACCTCTACTCATTACACCATGGAGAAGCCTGTTCTCTTATGATCAAAGTTTGATTGTAACCACAGTGTTTTGGGAGATAATCTTGTGTGTACTCACATAATCCTATTACTATTAACAACAATCTATAGCAACAGTAAGCATGGTAAGGTTCCATGGCTAATGTATTTCACTTATGGAGTAGCCTGTTCTCTCATGATCAAAGTATGTGAGCATGGTAAGCTTCCATGGCTAATGTATTTCACTTATGGAGTAGCCTGTTCTCTCATGATCAAAGTATGTGAGCATGGTAAGATCAAGATCAAACAGTGACTTTGTCAGTCACTTAGAACTTGGAGCAGAGTAGTGTATCGTCACAGGTAATTAGACTTGGGACATACTCATTTATGCAAAAGGCGTGTTCAATATTGGGATGTAGGCAAAATGGGATGTTGGCAAAATGGGATGTAGGCAAAAAGGGATGCAGGCAAAATGAGACCAAGGAGGGATACTAGCCAGCTGACCATAACACGAAAAAAAACCAATTGAACTTTATTCACTCAAGGCTTCAATGTTGTATGATGAGGTTACAAGAGATATATACAGCCTTGTACATTTTTAAACACATACATTCATATAATGTACATGAATAATATAATGACGGAGTATTTATCTGAATTTACACAGCACATGGCGCAAAATATGGACAATCTTATTAAGGTGGATACATTTTTGTCTGAAATATATTAATCATATTAAATATTGAAGGCTTTGTAATGAACTTTTTGGGAATAAACATTTTTCGTATTTCGTTAAAATATTGACAGTTAAAAAGGTAGTGTCACTCATCTCCTCTTACGTTTAAGGTGCACAATGTACATTTTCTATAATTATAATCAATATTGAACCATCTTCCAGTTAAATCTTACATGTTTACACATTTACACGGAAACTCATAATTACGTCAGACATATCTGGTTTCGTAATTACAAAATAGTTTAAGAAACTAAACGTGACCGTTCGTAGTCCAAAGTAAGGTATGGCTTCTTTCTCTGCATTTATATAACACACAGAACCATTTCAGCCTCATTGTGTCAGAATGCACGGTTGGTTGATCATCATGTTCATTAACAGTGAGGTGAGGTGAGGTGAGGTGAGGTGTGAGGTGAGGTGAGGTGAAATTGGGTTTTACGTCGTGTTTGAGAATATTTCGCTCATATGACGACGTGCATGCGTGTGTATGTGTATGTGCGGCTGCTTGTACTAGCCCAGACTTAAGCTGGTTTTATAGTGCTAGCCCACTGAGATACCATGCCGCAGTGAAGCATGAATATCCCACTCAGACACATTATACTGACTCCGAGCCGACCAGTCCTTGTTGTACCCATTAATGCCGAGCACTAGGCAGGGACCAACAAGTACCATATTTTAACGTCTTTTGGTATGACGCGGTCGGGGATCGAACCCGCGACCTTCCGCTCTCCGGGCGGACGCTCTAACCACTACACCACGGAGGCGGTCTTCATTAACAGTGAAGGGAGTTTGAATTTCCCAGAACTTTTAACAAGATGACGTAAGACTTTCTGATAAAAATGTTTGTTTTATATCCCTACTACTTCATATCGTTTTTTTATTGTATTTCTTTGCTTTCAATTGGCCGACATATTTTTACATATCCCAGAGCATACATTTACAAAAAGAATATTAATCCCCATTTCATTGTGGTCCCATTCTGTGCTCTCACTGCCCGTACTCCATCTGATCTCAGCTATAAGTAATACTCTAACGTTTATTTTATGAAGTATTTTTATTTGAACTCATAAACATTCCCGGGGTATATTTGTTAGTATTGACTGCTGCATGTAGGATTATAAAACATATATACAAAGTTATAAAACATTCTCGTTTTGAAAATTTAACCTTGTACTATATGGACAACCTACCGTGGTCTAGTCTGTCTTATGAATATTTGATCACATATCAGCACCTGAATGTATGATGATCACATATCAACACCTGAATGTATGACGATCACATATCAACACCTGAATGTATGACGATCACATATCAACACCTGAATGTATGATGATCACACATCAACACCTGAATGTATGATGATCACATATCAACACCTGAATGTATGACGATCACATATCAACACCTGAATGTATGACGATCACATATCAACACCTGAATGTATGACGATCACATATCAACACCTGGATGTATGACGATCACATATCAACACCTGAATGTATGACGATCGATCAACACCTGAATGTATGACGATCCCATATCAACACCTGAATGTATGACGATCACATATCAACACCTGAATGTATGACGATCACATATCAACACCTGAATGTATGATGATCATATATCAACACCTGAATGTATGATGATCATATATCAACACCTGAATGTATGATGATCACACTATACAGTATTACTATTATTACTACATATTGATACAAATATTTTAAAAAAACCATAAAAAATATATATTAATTTGTATATGTTCTTGTTTGTATTTGATCTATGGCCCCGTTGACTTAAATAAATGGCCCTTTTGACTTTTTCAATTTTGGCCCTTTTGTCCTTTGGCCCTTTTGACTACAACCCTGTCACAAGCATCTGCTTTTACCACTCAACTATCATACCACCCCTAATTCGGCTTAGATATGAATGGTGTTTGAATGGAAATGTTCGTCAATATAAATATTATTTGATGTCATATTATCATATTAATATAATCATCATTAAACAATGTAATTTCGTGTTATCATTACTGTATTCACTGAATGCAGGCTAATTGTGCGATTTTATCTCCTAGGGGTCCAAGGGAAATAACTCCTTCCAAACTATTCATGAAAAAAACATAACGGTAGAAATAATAACTGGTCCCTCAATCTTCATGTGCGCCATCTTCCGTGAAAATTCCCAGACAGGAGCACTATGTTAGGATTTCAAGAGAGGCGAACTTCAGACTTGTCAGGTAAGGAAGGCACCACTAGGACAGTCTTGCGGCTCTTTCATGTTAAAACGAACCAGTTTTGTGGAGCATGAGAGTTGGGCATGATATATAACATGCGTGAGCTGCGTGTCGAATGTCAGTCGCAAGACATGTGTCAGACTAGAGAACAAAGCAATCGTCTTTGTTTACTCTTATAGTCCTTCAGCCATTTGCAAAATTGATTCGGGTTATGAATCGTGTCATTTCACATGACCTTTCTTATCACTCAAACGACATCGTGGTTGTTTGCGTCTTGAGTGTTAGTACGGACGATCATTTGTATAACATTGTTTTGGTTGGAAGATCTCTGGACATGTGCTCGTGCTGCATGAGTTGAGCGCGCGGCTCGTGGCGAGATGGTGTTCGTCTCGGTGACAGGCTGACCCAGGCCGGCGCACGGGCTGGATTCCCTGTCTTCCTGGCTGTTTGTGATGTAAGACAGGTGCCCTTTGAACACGACAACGACATTACTGATCTACAGTCCTGGTTGGACTTTTAATAAAACCTATTGCAGTATGGGTGCAAAACAGAGTTCTCGCTCACACACGATAAAAAAACCACATCATAAAGTTGGCAGTTACTTATATCAGTTCCTGACAATATGTTGTAAAGCACGTTACAGTTGATAAGAGAAGGACTGTAGGAGAATGGGCATAATCTGATTGATTTGATTTGATAGGTGCATAGTTAGGAACAAAATATAGATTGGGACACTTATTACTTCATGTTCAGTTTCTGCAATGATTGTAAAAAGATAAAAAAAAAAAAATCCTTCCTTGCAGTAGCCCACAAAAACCAATAAAGTTATTAAAGTCAGAAATGAGTTCTTTCAGCGTCACTTATAAGTGTTTTAGTTGTCTGTGTTCAAAATTGTGCATGTCAGTTCTCCCACTAAACCTTGTCATATCCAGTATTGATATCACAACCTTGTCACTTGTGATTGGAGCATGACAGGAGAAGTTAATGATCCCATGCCTTGAAGTTATGAGAAGTGCTGAAAGCTTGTGAACATGTAACTCCAGATACATACCTCATTTAGATCAAACAAACAAACTCCTTACGATGTGATGGCTACCATGTTGCACGATTTGCATATTTGACAAACCATTTCACCAAAACCAAATGTTTTACTCCCATATGATTCTTCACATCTAAGAATACTGAGATAAATGAAGGCAAGATGGGTTTTTAGCCAATCAGGTGTCAGCGTTTTAAAAATATATGATTACACATTTGCAACCTTGCTTCAGAAGTTTCAGAAGACTGATCCACACAGAACATAATAATTGCTTACAGATGGTTATTCCCCTTTAGGTGAAGATGCCACAAAGCTGAGAAACTGCAGGATGTATGGAATATTCACAATGTGATGGTGCCACTATAGTATACTTTCTCCTTTCTAAAATTGTCAGTTTGTTTGGAAAATGTGAAGTCTAAACTTTTGGTTAGAAACTTTTTCTGCCACAGCCTTTCATGAATATGACAGCCTCCCACTTGCCACACCTACTTGCCAGAACCACTTGCCAGAACCACTTGGCAAGTGGGTAAATATCATATTCTTGCCCTTTCGCAAGTACGAAAACTTGACCTGTTGACAAGTCATTCAATATCAAAACAAGAAACAACTGAAAGTATTAATGCTGAGAACTGAAGAACACACACGGATGAGATAAAAAATATTTATAAAAATGGAAACAAGAGTTAAAATATTCTCAGGCAAAGTCTAGTGGCTAACCCATGACAGTGAAACTGGCTTTGAATCAGCCGGGCAAGTAGAAATTTTACGTTCACATGCCTTTGCGCAATTGAAAACCCCTGATGGTTGTAGCGATGCATCGAACTATCGATGGATTGCAACCGATAGCAATTAATCGATGGTACAAAGGAAAAACTATCGTTACATAGAGTTATGTGCGTTGGAGTGCTCTTTATGAATATCCTACACACAACTTCCGTACGGAGCAATTGTTCACATTCCATATATGGCACGTGTTCTCTGCTGGGAAGCTGAGTTTTCAGTTATCAATTTCAGGCAAGTCGTAAGGGATAATATGTCTTTTGTTGCATCAATAGGAAGCTAAAGTGAGTGCATATGCCCCAATATATATAATTATAGGCCAAAATATTGTTGAAAATGTGCCTCTAAGTCAGTCAACAAAACTACTACTAATACTACTACTTACTTACCCCCATGCGAGGTAAATAACGAGCAGTTGTAATCTTATCATCGCTATGTTACCTTTCTGCATATAGGGGTGACTACTGTGGGGAAACAGCTATTGTGATAGCGATAGCCTATTGTGACCAACTATAGCAATACTATTGCCATAGGGTTTTTTCTCCTTGAATTGTCTCATTTGAAGTCATTTCCCATATGAATGTATAGTTTATATGAAATAGAAACAAGCTGAAGTAGTTTCAGTCTCTTTTAATAACTGACAAGAAACTTGAAACCCAGATCAAGTAAACAATCATGTTTAAGAGGTAACAGGGGCTGATAACTCTAAATCAAACTGAACAAATCTGATACTTCCTGTATTTTGCGCTGTGCATTTATCAACGGAAGTCAATTACTATCAATTGATAGTCACAAATACTATCGATGCATCAATAATTTTTCGTTTCTACCATCAAATAATTGCTATTGGAGACTGCTACCCATCGATAGTTCGTTTATTGGATTAACATTGTTTCACTAGTATATGATGTCAGGTCACGTGGCGCCACACTCTGCTCATTAACTCTCAGTAGTTTCTGAAACGTGAGTAGTTTGTTAATGTTTGGGGCTACCAATGTTGACTTTAGGATGCTTTATAAAGATCTTTGCAGTAGTCAAACGGCACATTTGACAAAAGATACATTTCTCTACCTGTTAACTGAATGTGTCATGATTTGATTTTACAATGTTACTGAATATCTCCTTTAAATTCTAAGGTACCACCAAAACATCTTTGCTGTAGTCAAACGGCACATTTGGTGAAAGATACATTTCTCTGCCTGTCATCTGAATGTGTCCTGGCACTCTAAGTCACAAACACTTATATCTGCCAACACAGTAGTGTTGGGATTTGGTAAAATCTCATAACTGATGATTGGGCCATTACAACTGATCTATCATGAAAAGTAACTGGTTAGTGTTATTTATCAAATTTTCCTGTTATATTTGTTCATGCACAAAAAAATAAAGAAAAAACATGTAGTTTTTCTTCGAATTGCACAGAATGCACTTGCAAATTTCCCATCTTTAAAGGATGACTAGTATGTCAGGAACATAAATTTCCAAGAGCCTTAAACATAACTTCAATCTTGACTTGGAACGAGCTCTATTTGATTTTTTGTCAACTAAATTGCAGGTGATCTATTATAAATAAATATTGGAGAAGTAACTTTGGTAAAAAATGCCAGAAAAATCTCAAAGAAATTGACATATTTTACATCTATTATGGATGGATTTATTAACAAAACAGTATTGAGAACATAATCTAGAAGCATGAGTATGGACAAAACTTTGTGTAAAATATAATTATATTTCATCCCAATAGTTCTGGTACAATATTACCGATGACACAATTTTCATATTGATAATTAAAGTACTGTCGGAAAAGCTAGAAAAATGCTTTTTAGCCTTAATATCTTTATAAAGGTGATAAATGAACTATGTTGTCAATATATCAACTCGCCTATTGTCTACCTAATTTTTATTTCAATCGATTTAACCTTCCCATGCATTTAGAGGGCAGTTTACAGGAGAGAATTTGGTACCAAAACAGCAACTTAAGATTTTTTCAGAGTTCAACAACAGAAATCTGAAATAGTCTTTACATTTATGCTAATCATACAGGTGGTGTAAAAATATGAATTAACGTTTTTCCTAAACAAATAAATGTTGAATGTTTGTGTTACTCTACTTAATTATCGTTTCTTTATTGAAGAAATATTAATATAAATGTTAAGTCTTGATAAATAAGTTTCCCGTCATGCATGCACATCTTTATCACAGCCTCCACTATGGCCAACGATTTGCAGTCAATTGTTGCAAAGGTTTATAGTTTTTTTCTGCTTAAACAAAGACAGAGGTAAACCTTTCATTAGTTTGGAAAGGGTTTATTACAGATCTTATAGAGCTGTTGGCATGTCTTACCAACTAGTTTACTATATTGTAAACAAATCAGACAAGACAGACACCGTCTCAAATGCAAAACTGGGACGTGAAACCATCCTTGACAACTTTGACAAGGGAGTGCTTAGACGGGCGGTCTACAAACTTTATGAGAAGAAAAATATATATATTCTAAAGAAGCTACACCAGTGACTTCGTTAAATCTTTGGTCAATGTTCACAACTAGATTAAACTGACCGAATTACATCCATATTTTTTCAATGAAATATACTGTTGACATGCAAAACATTTATTAAAACGTTGCACATTTCTACAATCAATCGATAAGATAACACAAGTGATAGGATTCTTTCCAATGTACAGTAATTTGTATGTTTATTTCAAAACAAACACACATACACAAATGATCCTTTACATAACCGATACGTAATGTACACATATTCAACATTTTGCAGAAAATATCTATTGAGATGACCCCTCCCACGAGCGTGTGCTCAGGTGTCAATTTCACCTGTCGATACAGTGGATGCTGATGACGTAACACAGGCACTTAATGTTTGTATCAAATAACGTCCCACTCCCCCTTATTTTTCTAAGTTTTTGGTATTTTCATCAGTAAAAACACATTTCAGAGCATGTCTCAAAATTTATTCCCTCGGTCTACATTAGGTAAATGTTTCTTGAAGTGATATTTGTTATTTAAGTAACTGTAATACCTCTGAATTTTAAATATAAGTCAAAAAGCATTTTTCTAGCATTTCCGACAGTACTTTAATAATTCTTCCCATTGATGATATTTCCAATGATCAATTGTTTTACTTTTAGCCCATCCATTTCATCAAACAATGGCATCAATATTAAA